CCCACCCAGCCCTGCTCCTCCCAGCCCCCCTGATCTCCCCCGGCCAGCCCCACTGCCCCTGTCCCCCCCCTCCCAGTCCTGCTTCCCACCCACTCCCCTCCTCCCGGCCAGTCCCTTCCCCACTCCCTCCCCTAATCAAGTGTGTCTGGTATTTTTTCTGCAGCTACCTGATAACCCTAATACCGGACACCTGGCAACTCTATGCACAAGTCTTTACAAGCTTAGGATCTAACTATGCATTGTGCTCTTTACAGCCCCATCTCCAGCCCTGCTGTTACTAGTGCATGGGACACGTATATCCTCCCTGGCAGGCCAGTGGAAGCTGAAACGGAGGACTGATTTTCTGTGTGTTAGGAGTTGAGGATGTCAGTGGGGCTCCCAGCCGAGGGTAGTTTTATTTTGTTAAAGGGGACTTGTCCAGGCAGACAACTAATTGCTGTAGGCAAGGAAGTGTCTGGGTTGGGTTGGTCGTGGAAATGGATGTATCTGTTTTAATTTAAAAAAAATGTAAAATGAATGATAACTTAAAACAACCCAGCCACCAAAAATGCAAACAATTATTTTGTAAAGGTTGGCCTTTTTCCAGGTTTAGCGACAGAGAAAGCAGGCAGAGGTACAAGTAAAACAGACAAGTGAAAAATAGCAGAAATGTAGGCGAAGGGTAAATAACTAGTTATTTCAAAGAGTAATTGAATCAGGCTGCGAATCTCTGCACTAATTGGCCTATGTACCCATATGGATCTTATCCTTGCTACATTCCCCCTCTCTGCATCTCCTTCTGATAGTTTGGTACACCCACTCCTGACAAGTAGTTTTAGGGCTTGTCTACATGGGGAAGTTGGTGTGAAATAAATTAGGATGTGCATACAAAGCCCAACTATACGTACAAAATAATGGGGACTAATTAAGCTATAATCACTCAAGAGAGAGATCTTGGAGTCGTGGATAATTTTCTGAAAACATCCAATCAGTGTGCAGTGGCAGTCAAAAAAGCAAACAGAATGTTAGGAATCATTAAAAAAGGGATAGAGAATAAGACAGAGAATATCTTATTGCCTCTATATAAATCCATGTTACATCCACATCTTGAATACTGTGTACAGATGTGGTCGCCTCATTTCAAAAAAGATATCTTGGCATTGGAAAATGTTCAGAAAAGGGCAACAAAAACGATTAGGGGTTTGGAACGGATCCAATATGAAGAGAAATTAAAAAGACTGGGATATTTTGTCTTAGAAAAGAGAAGATCAAGGGGGGATATGATAGAGGTCTCTAAATCATGACAGGTATGGCGAAAGTGAATAAGGAAATTTTATGTACTTGTTCCCATAATATAAGAACTAGCAGGTCACCAAACGAAATTAATAGATAGCAGGTTTAAAGCAAACAAAAGGAAGTTTTTTTTCATGCAGGGTACAGTCAACCTGTGGAACTCCTTGCCAGAGGATGTTGTGAAAACCAGGACTTTAATAGGGTTCAAAAAAGAACTAGATAAATTCATGGAGATTAGGACCATCAATAGCCAGAATGGGTAGGAATGGTGTCCCTCGCCTCTGTTTGGCCCCTATTGGAAGACAGGATACTAGGCTAGATGGACCTTTGGTCTTGACCCAGTATGGCCATTCTTATGTTTTACATTCACAATAGCTATTCTGCTCTAGCACCCCACATATGCTTTTACTCCGCACCGAGTGCCTTTTTGGGGGTTAGCTTAATCTGTTTCCAAAGAGTAAAGTGTGTCCACATGAAATGCTAGTACTTCTGGGCTATTTCTCTGAATAAACATGCCCTTAAACTAGATTGCAGGCTCTAAGGGGAAAGGACTCGGTCAATGTTTCAACAGCATGCACAGCAGCAAGGTCTTGACCCTGATATGTAAACAATCATAATGCAAAAGTATAAAAGATATGCAAATTAATGTATCCTTGCACGAAGGAGAAGGATGCTCTCATGGTTACAGCACTGGAGTTTGGAAGTCAGGTGACTTGATTCCTATCCTGACTCTGCCACAGACTTCCAAAGACCTTGGTCACATCACTAAACTGCTCTATGCTGCAGGTTTCCCCCTTTGTAAAACAGAGAAAATGATAATTTCATCCTCATGGAGGTGTTCTATGGCTTAAGTATAAAGTATTTTGAGATAAATTATGGCAGTGAGTGACGGAGAAGGCTTGTTGGGTCATTGGGTCCATCTCCCTGGTGATGCAGGGCTTGAAATAAATTAGGATGTGCATACAAAGCCCAACTATACGTACAAAATAATGGGGACTAATTAAGCTATAATCACTCAAGAGAGAGATCTTGGAGTCGTGGATAATTTTCTGAAAACATCCAATCAGTGTGCAGTGGCAGTCAAAAAAGCAAACAGAATGTTAGGAATCATTAAAAAAGGGATAGAGAATAAGACAGAGAATATCTTATTGCCTCTATATAAATCCATGTTACATCCACATCTTGAATACTGTGTACAGATGTGGTCGCCTCATTTCAAAAAAGATATCTTGGCATTGGAAAATGTTCAGAAAAGGGCAACAAAAACGATTAGGGGTTTGGAACGGATCCAATATGAAGAGAAATTAAAAAGACTGGGATATTTTGTCTTAGAAAAGAGAAGATCAAGGGGGGATATGATAGAGGTCTCTAAATCATGACAGGTATGGCGAAAGTGAATAAGGAAATTTTATGTACTTGTTCCCATAATATAAGAACTAGCAGGTCACCAAACGAAATTAATAGATAGCAGGTTTAAAGCAAACAAAAGGAAGTTTTTTTTCATGCAGGGTACAGTCAACCTGTGGAACTCCTTGCCAGAGGATGTTGTGAAAACCAGGACTTTAATAGGGTTCAAAAAAGAACTAGATAAATTCATGGAGATTAGGACCATCAATAGCCAGAATGGGTAGGAATGGTGTCCCTCGCCTCTGTTTGGCCCCTATTGGAAGACAGGATACTAGGCTAGATGGACCTTTGGTCTTGACCCAGTATGGCCATTCTTATGTTTTACATTCACAATAGCTATTCTGCTCTAGCACCCCACATATGCTTTTACTCCGCACCGAGTGCCTTTTTGGGGGTTAGCTTAATCTGTTTCCAAAGAGTAAAGTGTGTCCACATGAAATGCTAGTACTTCTGGGCTATTTCTCTGAATAAACATGCCCTTAAACTAGATTGCAGGCTCTAAGGGGAAAGGACTCGGTCAATGTTTCAACAGCATGCACAGCAGCAAGGTCTTGACCCTGATATGTAAACAATCATAATGCAAAAGTATAAAAGATATGCAAATTAATGTATCCTTGCACGAAGGAGAAGGATGCTCTCATGGTTACAGCACTGGAGTTTGGAAGTCAGGTGACTTGATTCCTATCCTGACTCTGCCACAGACTTCCAAAGACCTTGGTCACATCACTAAACTGCTCTATGTTGCAGGTTTCCCCCTTTGTAAAACAGAGAAAATGATAATTTCATCCTCATGGAGGTGTTCTATGGCTTAAGTATAAAGTATTTTGAGATAAATTATGGCAGTGAGTGACGGAGAAGGCTTGTTGGGTCATTGGGTCCATCTCCCTGGTGATGCAGGGCTGGGCTCACCAGAGTGTTATCTAGTGTTCTGTCCAGTCTGTCTTTAACAGTCCCCAGGGCAGGATCTTCTATGGCTTCCCTTGAGAGACTCTTCCACAGTTTAATGCACCATATCATCCCAATTTTTCCTGATAGTCGTACTAAATTTCATGTGGATGAAAGAGGATTTATCCGTGCAAATTATTAACTTTATATGGAATGTACCAGAGCGGTGTACAGATCTGGAAATGTAAATGTATAAAGTGTGTTAGGCTATGTCTACAGTAGGGACCTCACAGTGGCATAATAAACGGCTCCCAATGAGTTTGTCAGTGAGAGTGTCTCCTGCCGATGTAGCACTATCCATGCTGGCACATTGGTTTGTGAAACTTTTGTCAGTCGGGAAGGGGTTTTTTCCCCACCTCTGACTAATAAAAGTTTTACTGGCAAAAAGGTACAGGTGTGGTCGTAGCCTTAGAAAAAGTTTCTGAAGAGTTGTGAGTTGAATCTCTTACATGGTCTATCAGGATTGGTTTGTATCTGATCATCTTGGACCCTGGTTTCAGTGTGATTATAAGCCTTTGGATTTGATTTTCATGGTTACATTGTTTTAATCTCTCCCCCCGCCCCCATATGTTTTTAGGTTTTCGGAGTTTTTGAATCTCCAGAGTTTTCCAGAATATCTTCTGCCTTCAGGCCTATTATAAAAGGAGAAAAAGAAGAATCAAGCTCTCCCCAGCATCTAATCAGTGAAAATGGCACCAGTCAGAAGACACTTCTGCTCCAGGCATTCCCTTCCAAACCCACTGGTGGGAGCCAGGCAGAGATGCAGGTACAGGGGATGCAAGTACAGGAAAGGGAAGGGGAGGAGTAGGTAAGTTCAGGGCACCTAATGTACAAGAGAAACCATCCCTATTCCCTATTAAGGGGACAGAGATGGTCTGTGTGTGTGCTTTTCCCTCTAGATGGGAATGAAGTGATTTGATTTCACCTCTGAGAGACCAGTCTGTGTGTGCAGCAGGCTCTCAAGAGCATGTGGCATTCCTCAGGGTGCAATCTGAAGTGCTGCATCCTCTAAGCTCAGTAGTAGGCAGCTTGTGACCCATGTGTAGCCCATTGGGGTTCCATGTGCGGCCCATACACCCTGTCTCTGCCCCCTTCTCCCACATCTCTTGTGCACTGAGTGCCCCGAACTTACCTACTTCTCCCTCTCCCTGCCAGCACTTCTGGAGCATCACAAATCAGCTGATTTGCAGCATTCAGGCTCTGAGACGGGGAGGAGTGGGGACTGGGCGTGATTCAGCCAATTCATGGTGCTTCGGAAGTGCTGGGAAGTAAGGGGAGAAGCAGGAAGGGGACGGGCTTGGGTGTGGAGGCAGGGAAGAGGCTGGGCAGGGATTTGATGTTGTAAAGTAAGTGTAAATGTTTCTTTTTTATTATTTGAAGTTCTGTGACTATATGAATGATTGAAGCATTTCTATCTGTTTTGAAATATTCAGCATGCTGTGTATTAATGTATTTAATCTTTTTCTTGGGGCCCTGGTTAGTGCACATGTCTGATTTCAATCTTTTAACCCACTGAGATGGAGGAGGGCCGCTCACTAACCTGGGTTGCCCATCACTGCCTTAGCTCTTTGGCCTGCTTTTAACACTGCTTTGCTGGTGAATAGCAAGCCTCTTTGGGCTCTGCTTGCACCCAGCCCCTAGCAAGTAAAGTCACTCCCCGCTAAGTACATCAGTGCTATGCCCAGACATCCAGGAATTACAAACAGGACGACACACGCATGTTTGTGAATCCCAGCCTTATCTCTTAGAAATATGTGTCTTGTATTGCTCACTGGACTACATGCTCCTAAATAATCCATCATTCCAACAATGGGGGTTGAATATGTACCAGCCTTTTAGACTCAGTAGAGATTTCTCAAATACTTCAACCAAACACACTGGTTTACATAAAACAAGTATATTAACTAAGGCAGAACAGTCAGTATTGGTTACCAAAGAAATAAAAGGTTAAACTAACTTTATCGGACTAACAGGCTTAAATACAAAAGGTTTGTCTCATCATGCCCTGCCATAACTTTCATAGGCTGCATCCCTTTCTAGCCTGGGATTAGTCCCTTCCTTGTAAAGTCCTTTGAGAGTTGTTGCTGCCATAAGCAGAGAAGTAAAAGGGGAGAGGTGTTCTGTGGAAGTCACTGTCCTTTGTTATTGTACCCTCCTCCTCTCTTTGGATATGTCTACACTGCATTCCTCTTTCAGGAGAGAAATGCAAATGCAGCCGAGTGAAATTGCAAATGAAGCGCGGATTTGAATTTCCTGTGCTTCATTTCATAGAATCATGGAATAATAGGACTGGAAGCGACCTCAAGAGGTCATCGAGTCCAGCCCCCCGCCCTCAAGGCAGGACCAAGCTCCATCTACACCATCCCTGACAGTTGTCTATCTAACCTGTTCTTAAATATCTCCAGAGAGGGAGATTCCACCACCTCCCTTGGCAATTTATTCCAATATTTGACCACCCTGACAGTTAGGAATTTTTTCCTAATATCCAATCTAAACCTCCCCTGCTGCACTGTAAGCCCATTACTCCTTGTCCTGTCCTCAGAAACCAAGAGGAACAAATTTTCTCCTTCCTCCTTGTGACACCCTTTTAGATATTTGAAAACCGTTATCATGTCCCCCCTTAATCTTCTTTTTTCCAAACTAAACAAGCCCAGTTCATGAAGCCTGGCTTCATAGGTCATGTTCTCTAGACCTTTAATCATTCTTGTCGCTCTTCTCTGTACCCTTTCCAATTTCTCCACATCTTTCTTGAAATGTGGTGCCCAGAACTGGACACAGTACTCCAGCTGAGGCCTAACTAGTGCAGAGTAGAGCGGCAGAATGACTTCACGAGTTTTGCTTACAACACACCTGTTGATACAACCTAGAATCATATTTGCTTTTTTTGCAACAGCATCACACTGTTAACTCATATCCAACTTGTGGTCCACTATGACCCCTAGATCCCTTTCCGCCATGCTCCTTCCTAGACAGTCGCTTCCCATCTTGTATGTATGGAACTGATTGTTCCTTCCTAAGTGGAGCACTTTGCATTTCTCTTTATTAAACCTCATCCTGTTTACCTCTGACCATTTCTCTAACTTGCTAAGGTCATTTTGAATTATGTCCCTATCCTCCAAAGAAGTTGCAACCCCACCCAGTTTGGTATATTTGAATAATCGCATCCAGCTGCTATTTCGAAATACCCTATTACGACATAAAAAACACTGGGTAGACGCGGTTATTTCGAAAGAAACCCCTTCTTTTGAAATAACCCTTACTTAATGGTTTTTTCAAAAGAAGGGGTTTCTTTCACAATAACCATGTCTACACAGCGTTTTTTATCTTGAAATAGGGTACTTCAAAATAGCGGCCGGATGCAATTATGCAAATGAAGCATGGGAAATTCAAATCCACGCTTCATTTGCATTTTCGCTTGGCTGCATTTGCATTCCTCTCTCGAAAGAGGAATGCAGTGTAGACATACCCTTAGAGGATTACCACCCCGCCGGGGATTGACAAATGATCTCCTGTGTATGTGAGATTCAGACTGTAGCTGGGAGGAAATGGTTAATTTCTTGTTTACATATCCCTGTTGCTGAAGAATGGCTGCTTAAGTAAATGATAATTCACTTGACTGTGTTAATACATGTCTGGGGTTGCAAGTGTGTCTTTGCTTCTGAAAAATGGATTTGTTGGTATGAGCCAATACTTCCACGTATTTCAGTAACAATCATATAGCAAAATCTCATAACTTTACACACAGTGTTGCTATAAATATTTTAACAGGACAGTGATGTTCAGTGGATTAGGAGTTTTCAAATGATACCTCACAATGCATACTTTGTACAGAATATATCATAACCATGTAAAGGGGTAAATATGGGGTACAGAGTGTGTTGTAGGTACATAGTGTCTCAGATGGACTTTGGTTAAAAAAATGATGATATTCCATTTGTCTCTATAGGTACCTCCAGCATCGCAAGGTGGTCAGAAATGGGTCTCTAGGTGGGCAAGTCTTGCTGACAGCTACACAGACTCAGGACTTTGTGATGTTCAGCATCAGGAATTAGTATCTGAGGGCCATACAGGTAAGTCCTGTACTGATGCCATCTTCAGGACGCTGGACAGTTTATTTAAAAGTAACGTGAAAAGTATGTGGGGTGGGGGAAAGAGAGAGAAATGCTTATGCTCTTTTTTGTTGCTTTCTGGTGAATATAAAGAAAGCTTGAAATGCTCTTAAATTTTTGTACGGCTTATTTTCTATTTTAACTGAAGTATTTGGCAGGAAATCTTTATTTGCTTAGGATTAGTTGCCTCATCCCTACATTTAAGAGCTAGGAAGGCCTCAGTGCACATTTGAGTCAGCCAAGAAATCTTTAAGCAAAAAAAGTAAAGATCATACTTGACATTCCTGATGTTTCTTAAGGGGGCATAGGGAGAAATAAACACTTAAGGGGGCAGGATTGGAAAGAACCATCTATCAGAAATGCTTTATACTTCATTAAGAAGCAAAAAAGGAAAGGCAGTATCCTAGTTTTGTCTTTGCAAGTCATCCATAAAAGTGGCTACTGACTAGTCCTTTTATAACTGTGTTTTTGTTTCACTTCTCCCTTGCTCTCAAGCTCTGCTAAGCATCTCAGATTATCCTGGGGTTTGGTAGACCTAGGTAGCAGTATTTGAGGTGATTGTAGGAAGCATGATGTATAAAATGAGATGTAAGAGGAGAAGAAAACCTAAGGTAAGTTATAGAGTCACGTCAGAGATTGGAGCCAAGAAACGGAAAAGGCTTAAGGCCTAATGTTGAGAATGAGTTGCAGAGTGTAGGAAATGTTCGTAATCCAGAAGACAGCCAAGCCCCCCTCTCTCTATAAGGAGCCATTTGTACTCACTCCAGTAGCTGCCAGGAAAGGCTGCAGAAAGAAATCATGTTGTTCCAGGGATTATTTCGTAATATGGCACATAGTACTTGAATTCTCCTGGGAAATTGGGTTTTTTATTTTGCACTGCCAAGTTACAAGCCATTTATTATTTAAACTAACAATCCCAGAAGATTTGAAATCCTGAGCTGTGACATGGGGTGAAAAATAACATGGTTCTAGTGAAGTGTGTCCTCAGTAACACACACACTTGGCTGCTAATTCCTAAGCTTGTTTAAACAGTAGGATTTCTATAGGGAGACTTTGATGTGGAATACAATCTGTAAAAGTGGGAAATTGTGTCTCTTCAGTGAAGTCAGCTGCATCATTTTCTAACACATTTCTTAAAATGTTGCATCTCTGGTCCAAACATGTGACTAACAGGGTTAACAGATTTTCCCTATTCTCTTTGGAAGGAAGAAGATATAGTTTCAGGGTCTCTTGTATATTTGTATGGTCTTTTAGATTATATATGTATGCCACCCTCCTGCAACGTTTGAATGCCAAGGTTGTTAAATTTAGGTCTTGATTCTGCAAGGTGATTGAGCACTCTGGCCCTGATCCAGCCTGGGACATAAGCAAATGCTTAGCTTTCAATATGGACCTATTGATGCCTGTGCTTAAAATCAAGCTTGTACTAATTGCCTTTCTGAATCTGCATCTTGCAGACTCAAGGCCGTGGTGAATAAATGCAGCATTCTAGTACAGCCTGGAAGCAGCATTTAAATGAGTGTCTTTTATTCTTTCTTAGAAAGCGGCACAGCTCATAAACCAGCAGAATCAGAGACCATTGTGTCCTCAAGAACAAGAAGGCTTCTTCCCCAGCTCCCGCCAAGTGATAAATCTGACAGTCCAACTCCCACAGTTTTAATTTGTCAAGACTCCTATCCTGAAGTACCCAAGAGAAACATTGCAAAGGAACAGAGGCTAGAAGCCTATGCTGATCCCAGCACCCGACTCTTCATCCAAGAGGACTTGGATCCTGATAGCCTGAGTGATGCCAGCAGGTCCGACGATGGCTTTGGTTTGGAAAAAGGCAAGAAATACAAAGAAAATAGTAGAATGCCTGCACAAGAGTGCAGAAGGGGGGAAGGCTTAAAACCTGAGGGCCGACAGCCAGCAGTTCTCGGGGTTTCAAGTATCCCAGCTGTGAATGAGCCAGCATCTACTGCCTTCTACATTGGAGATGAAAGTAATGAGGTCGGGGTTCCCTCCAAGCTTTCTCTAAGCACGTCTCATTCTCGAGCAGACACAGAATGCAAGGACCAAGAGTTTCCTTTCAAGTCATCCAGTGCAGCTGCTTCTGGAAAGCCAGTGGTGAAAGATGTTAACAGCACTTACAGTAGCCCATCGGGAAAAATGATGATTTCCCTTCATCAGAGTCTTCCTCAAGAGCAAGAAAACATAGCCACGAAAGAGGCATCCTCCTTCATTAGGCAGGAGAGTTTTACCAAAGATAAATCTAGTGGCATTGTTCCTCTGAATAAACTGCCTCATATTTCAAGTCACCCTCTGCTTAAAGATTTAGATGCTGCCCGGTCAAGCCGTATGGACTATAATCAGGACACCCATCTTATCCTGAAAGACACGGAAACTGCTTTGGCAGCGTTGGAAGCCAAAATACTCTGTCAAAACCACCAGGTGGACCCTTCAGAACCTATTCCTGGGCAGCTGGAAGACTCCTTATCTGGGGACTCTGATGTGGACACAGCAAGCACAGTCAGCTTGGTTAGTGGTAAAAATGTCCCGAACAGCACACCGAAAGGCAAAGTAATGAGCAGCTTGCAGAAAGAGAAATCCTCTTCTACTCCTTCTATCCAGGACCAGTGTAGCCAGCCCAGTGCTCGCGAAAGACTGTCAGAAAAACGCAGGATGCTCCCACTCGAGGCAGGAAACAAAGGAGAAACCACCAAACGTTTCCAAATCAAGCGTAGCACTGGGGCTCGTGGGTCGCTGGAATTTATAGATGATGAAAGAGGCTCTAATCTTCCTTACTTCCCGGTAATCGAAACAGCTTCTTCTGATCATGAGCATTCTGTATCAAAGCCCGCCCCCAGAAGGAAACCTTTTACTTCGGTTGTGAAAGAGGAGCACAGCAAAGTGATGAAACAGCTTCTTCTGATCATGAACATTCTGTATCAAAGCCCGTCCCCAGAAGGAAACCTTTTACTTCAGTTGTGAAAGAGGAGCACAGCAAAGTGACTTCAAATGTGCAAAAGATTCAGCAGGTTCTCACCAGGTCCAACAGTTTATCGACTCCCAGGCCCACTAGGGCCTCAAAACTCCGTCGTGCCCGGTTGGGAGATGCATCGGATAATGAATGTGCCGACACTGAGAAAACAGCCTCCAACCTCGACGCCACGACTTCATCTTCGAAACAATCCACGGAGTCTAAAAAACTGTCCAGGCTTGACATCCTTGCCATGCCAAGGAAACGAGCGGGTTCGTTCACAGTGCCAAGCGACTCTGAAACGACACAGTCAAGAACTGTGTTTTCAGGGCGCAGTGTGGAGTCATATTACGCAAACCGGAAGCCACTTGTGTCAGAGGCTAGAACTGCAGCTAGAAAAAGTGCAGCCTCTGCTACTACCAAGCAACCTTTCAGCAGAACGCGTTCTAGCAGTGTCAGGTATTCATCCACTTCCAGTAAGTACTTACGTTTTATGTGTCTCCTTAGTTCAGCTCTTTTATAATATGCAGACTTTATACATGGGTTCCAGGTGTAGTTTTCCTAGGAATAACAACCACTGCAGTGGGTGTGCCATGGAGCGGAAGAGTGGAAAGGAAAGGGAACAAGACAAAAGGAACATGCACAAATAAGCAGATTAGAGCAATTAAAGAACAACACAACTTGACGCAGCAGGATATATAGAAATAGCAAATATCCCCACAGTTTTTTCATACACAGTTGAAATTTAGTTTGATCAACCAGAAGAATTCGGAAGTGAGTAGTGATTTTGGAGTTGCCTCAATTACTGTGTGCCCAACCTAAGATGCTTTAACAGGGGCTGACTTTAAAGTATCCAAAAATCAGAGCCCTGTCTGAAAGCTCTCAAGTTGGGCACCCAGAATCACTGCTTCTGTTAAGATCTTGGCCCTATTTACCACGATAGAACTTCCTGACTTTCCAGTGTCACATGGAAATTGTCTTTGATTTTGAAGAGCCGGAAAATGTGCCCAATGGAGAATTTATAACTGCGTCAATGACGGTATAATGTCAGAGTGGTAAATTTGAAGCCATCAGAGAAGTCAAAGCAAGGAATAAGCAAGTGAGCAAATAATTTGGAAGCAGCTCTGCTCCTTGCTGCAAATTCAAAGCTTTGCATGATTGGACAATTGGCGTTGAACTACGATAGCCCGTAGTGGGATAGTGCCTCTGCTCTCTTTCTCAAATTCAAAGCTTTGCATAATTGGACAATTGGCGTTGAACTATGATAGCCTGTAGTGGGATAGTGCCTCTGCTCTCTTTTTATTGTTTGGCACGTAGCCTCCAAAATATGTCATCGTTACAGTAGCTGCATTCGTAAGTCTCTCACTGAGGAATATGGTGCAGATTATTCTGCTGTCTAGCTGCTCGTGTCATGAACAATAATGATCATGTTTAAACTGTTCTTAAATTAATAGATGAGGAAGATGCATATGACAGATACTGCACAGTAATCGGAGATGGCTCTGAACATCATTAGGTCTGAAATCCTGGTTCTTTGGCCTTTGGGGGAAGCAGCAAGTCGTGTCAATTCACTTGGGCTTTTAGGGAGGAATTCGGTGGCTTGCTGAGTTTCACTGGGTCTGTTGGGGGTAGTGGCTAATTTCAGCCCTTGTGTTTTTTTGTGACTTGCATCAAAGGCCCTTAGAGTGCTAGATAAAGGCCTCTTTTCCATGCTTTTATAAATGTGATATTAGTTTCCTATTGCATGCTGGAATTGTTCTTCATGCTGTTGTTTTAATATTGACTTATTAACTTACCTCATCTTTTATTTTACACACCAATATGCAAAGAAATCAGCATTGTGTATGAGCAAACAAAGGCAATATGTGCAGTATTTCCCTTGTGTTTTCTGAGATGATACTCCTATTAACATTCTCTTATATTAGAATATTGACCAATTGTAATGTAGATGACCTCTTGAGGTCTCTTCTGGCCTTACAGTTCAGGGTTTTCCATATAGATGCTTCCTCTGCACTGGACCACAGACTTCAACTGTTAGGACAAATTCATGCCCGATTCTTGTTCTAAATGAATTGGTTTTTTGGCTTCCAGCACTTTGTACCACACACTAACAATATTTCTTGTGTGAAATTAAAGCAGAGAATTCTAATTCTTTCTGTCATATCATGTTCTATTGAAATACTAATCTTCTAATTCCTTGATAGAATTCTGGACCATGCACAAGTTCTACATAGACTGGGGTACCTTAATACACTTTGTCCTACTGTAGATAGCGTTGATACCTGTTTCTGTACTAATCAGCAAACAGCTAGTACACCCTGAGAGCAAAAATTAAACTTGAATAAGCTTAAAAGTTTCACTGTAGTGTCAAGACTTTTTTTTTAATATGATACAGTAACAATTTGAAAGTGAAGTGCTTTGATGCTGGAACCAGAAACTTTCAATGACTTAACAACTGGAAGAGAGCAATGAGGTAGATCTGGCTGCATTATTCAGTGGTTTCTTTAAACAGTTAGCTAACTGCCATCATCTCCCTCCATGCCAGTGGAAAAAGTAATCCTACAAGTAGAGAGACTGTATAAATACGTAGTCATGACAACGAGGAGTCCTGTGGCACTTTAAAGACTAACAGATTGATTTGGGCATAAGTAGAGCCGTGAATGGATACAAAATTTGTATCTGCATCTGTATCTGCAAAAATGAGCCACAGATATCTGCATTGACATCCACAGATGCAAATACCCATGGATATAAAGCAGATGTCTGAAAATTTGCAGGATCCTAGGCACAAAATTTGTATCTGCATTAAAGATATTAAGGATTAGTCGACTATCCGATAAGCAGAAGCTTATTGGATAGTCCAGTCGACTAGTCGATTTCCCCTGCTTGTTGCCTATATCAGATAGAGGCAGCAAAGGCGGGGAGGCAGAAGCACTTACTTCAAAGTGGCAGCGCCTCACAGCTGAGCTCAGGATCAGCTGTGCAGTGCTGCCCCTTTGAAATGCTACGGCATGTGGGCTGATCCCAGGCTCCATTTCCACCCGGGCTCCATGTGGCTTTTCAAAGCAGCAGTACCACATGGAGCCCTGGTCAGCAGGGGACTCTGAGTCCCCCGCTGGCCCCAGGCTTCATGAGGGTGCTTCCGCTTTGAAATGCGTGCAGCCCGGAGTCAATGGGACTTCTAGCTTACCCCGGGCTGCACACAGAGTTCCACATTCCTCCTTTGAAATGTACAAGAGCCCCAGTAGAGGCTCTTGTACAATTGAAAGGAGGAATGCGGAAGTGCCTATCAGCTATTTGAGTAGTCGATGGAAATTCCATCGACTACTTGACAAGTAAATTACTTGCTATTTAACATCCTTAATCTGCATCCATATCCACAAAAATCAGTCACGGATATTGACCTCCATAGATGTGGATATCTGCGGATATAAAGTGGATAGCCACAGATTAGCTGATCTCTACGCATAAGCTTTCATGGGCAAAGACTCATGAAAGTGTTAGTCTTTAAGGACTCCTTGTTGCTTTTGCAGATACAGACTGGGGATGTGAATGGTTAACTGGCTAGCATGACTGTTATTGGGTGAAGCTTACTGGTCACGGTTAACTGGCGGGAGCTGGAGAAGCTTGAATAACAGAGAAGCCCCCGCCTACCCCAATTTAAGCAATTAACCGATTAATCATCCTGGTTAACTGATTAAATGAGATTTTTCATCCCCAATACAGACTAACACGGCTACCTCTCTGATACATGGCCATGGGACGTGAGATGCCAGGATGTCGTCAGGCTATTTTAAGCAATTGTACTGAGATGTCAAGAGATTATCTATTCTGATAATTACTCAACCAATTATTCCAAAAGCTCAGGGCTAGATTCCTCTCTCTTTTGCTGGATTTATGCACCGTAATGTCACTGACTTCAGCGGACTTATTTCTGATTTATGTGAGTGGAGGTGAATGGTGGAGTTAGCCCTTAATTTTGAAATGTCCACTGAATGCATGTGTATTCTGAAAGCTGGATGGCCTTCCTTCCTTCCTTCCATCCATCCATCCATCCATCCATCCCTCCCTCCCTCCCTCCCTGCCTCTCAGCTGAATTATGAACAAGATCCATTTTTCTGGTAACTCTGTCATAAGCCAGGACTCTTAAAAAGTTGTAACCAGGCAAGAAGTAGATCTAGGAACTTTCTGTTCATAGTTAAAGGGTAGCTGCATGTCTGTAGACCATTGCTCTCCACTTTTTATATGCCAAATTCAGTATTTTCATTTGTCTGATATTGTGGTAACCTTGATGACACAGTGAAACTTTTAAGTGTTATTCAGGTTGCACTTCAGTTTTAAATAAAGTGGCTAATCCTGTCTTTTATAGATTATCATGGCAAAATGTAAGAGGTGAAACCATTAATTCTTGAATAATACAATGGGAAATTAAACAAACAAATATTGGGAGCCCAAGTTTCAAATGTAGGCATCTGAGTTGTCCGAAGGTTGATACATGGATGCCTAAAAATAGGCATCTAAGTGCTTAAGAATTGGCTTCAGAGCCAAGGGAAATGAATAAAAAGACTCTCATTGACTTTAGGAGACTTTGGAGCAGGCCATAAGTGCCTATTTGACTCCTTTTCTGAGGTTTGAAATCCTGTGAAAGGGGAACTGCAAGGCAAAAGTAAAAGTCCCTGCAGATTTTCACAAATAAAATGAAGCATGAAAATCTATGCTTCAGTCAACCATTTCTGTAGGGTTTTTTTTAACTTCTAGCTCACCTTTAGGCTGCTCAACACACTTGAAAATTGGGCGTTGGGGACTTCTAAGAGTCTAACTTGTATGCTACTTATGGATGAGGCTTCTGTGTATGGAAAATCAAGTCTGACAATAACAATTATGTTTAGTTGATAATACAGTCGGTGCACTTTTCCACTAGAATATATAACTTCAAATTTGTATAGCTTGTGGCAGATCCATTACAACAGTGATCTGCTTGTGAATAAGCTCTATCAAAGTTTCCGTTCACTGAAAAGATGCACAGAAACTCTCCAGGCCTTTCTCTGTGGGCTAGTTTGTATTACTCTTAGTTTTGCCTTCTGTAGTTGGTCTTAAATCTCTCCCTTTCTTCTTCATCTGAAACCAATTCATTTTTTATAAGCTTCAAGGCGGAGACAGCAGGGTTCAGATTACACTTCCACTTCAGAGGAGGAGTATGGCTCAAATCACAGCTCCCCTAAACACAAACGCTCCCATACTTCAACAGCCACCCAGACGCCGAGGGCACACAGTTCTGGGCTGAACCGACAGAAGCACAATGGGAGAGAAACGGATGATGATGAAGACTATGACGAACCTGATCCCTTCAACTTCATCGCACAAACAGCCGAGATAGCCGAGATAGCCAGGTGAGCTGGAATGGCAGTGCCAAGCCATTGTAGGAAAACTGATCTCCCGTGTTACCTCAGATTTCAAACCAAGCTGGAAGGAGGGAGCACAGGGAGAGGGAATTTAGCATTGTAACAAAGGATGAAGTTAGAGAGTAAGTGTGCTCTGCAGGGGATTCCCTATGTGGAGTTCCATAGGACAACCTGTCATGCTGCCAAGTATTGCTTAGATAGTCATTTCCTCCTTGCTTGGAGGATCCTTGTGTTATATAGTGAAATGAGCTTGATGTATGTTTACTACTTCAGCTGAAATTCTGTGAGCCATTTGGCTTTATCCTTTCATTCTGGTTTTAGGGCCAGATCCAGCTCTCATTTTTTGTTTCCTTCAATGAGGGCCCATTGTGAATAAATTGCTTTTGTTCCTGTTTTAGTAGCAAACCTAAAAAACATGCTTCTCTGTGTGTTTCCTTCAGCAGTGCCAGTAACAGACCTGTAACTCCCTCTTGGCTCAGACGGGTTTATAACTAGCTTATAAAACTTCTCTATCGCCCAGCATGTGTGTGAGTTTATTTTATGCTGCCCTGTTGGTTTAAAGGACTGAGCCATATGGGATTGGGAAGGAGAACGCAGGAGCAGTGGTGACTACAGGACAGCTGTACTGATAGACATGCGGGGATGAATTATATCCATGCAGAGGCATGCTTGTCTTTAACAAGATGTCATGTATAAAGGGTGATGGGCATTGGAAGGAGTGATTTGAGGAATGATGGAGCAGAACAAAGGCAAGGGTACCCTTGTAGTTAAGGCATTAAACCTGAGACCCAGGAGATCTGAATTCCGTTCCTGGCTCAGCAACAGAATTATTGTGTGACTTTGACCAAGTCATTTAATCTCATTGGGCCTAAATTCCCCATCTGTAAAATGGGAATAATTTAATCTCATTTCTTTCACATGCTCTCTGATCTATCTGTTTAGATTGTCAGTTCCTCAGGGAAGACTGGGAGCTGGCAGCATGATTCCATTTTATTAAGACAGTTACCTATTGTCATTAGAGAGCAGCAGATCCCAGGAAGCAGTGATATATCCCTCCAGCTCCTAGGCAGAAGTATGGCCAGGAGGATCTGCGCACTGCTTCCACCAGCAGGCACCGCCTTGGCAGTTCCCACTGACTGTGGTTCCCAGCCAGTGGGAGCTGTGGGGCTGGTGATCAGGGCTGAGGCAGCAAATGGCACCCTGTGGTCCCCTCTCCTAGAAGCCAGACATGCCGGTTGCTTCCCGGGATCTGTGCAGAGCTGGGCAGGGAGCCTGCCTGCTCTGCTGCACTACCAGCCAAACTTCTAATGGCCCAATCAACGGTGCTGACCGGAGTCATTCGGGCGCTTTTTCAGGCGGGCGTAGACATTTACAAAGCTTAATGTGTGAAAAAATATATTTTCATGGATGGTTTTCAGATGTTAGTGATTTAAAAAAAAACCACATTTGTCATTTTCCAGTCAGCAGCCAGACACCTAGCAATCCTATCTGTCTCCCTGGCACTTTACCTCCTCTCCTAGTGACCAACCGAACCTGCCTGCTCATCTGATTTTTCTCCCCGTCAAACCTGAACATTAAAAACATTAAAAATCTGGTTTGAAGTGATTGGTGAAGCCTCACAGCACATGCAGGGTTGGCGTTGGGTCGGGGGAGGGTAGGAGTGGGTCCCCTTCCCACGATGTCATGTCTAGGTACAGGGAGGCTGTGATTTGCCCTCCCCCCATTCACACAGCCCATAGCACATGTGGAATAGAATTTAGCAATCCTCTCTCTCACCCCTGTGATCTAAACCCTTGTCCTTTCCCTTCAAAATTTAATTTCAGTACACAGGCTTTGAAGCCACTGATGCGCTCATGTGGAGGAGATTCTCTCGCCAGAGTGTCTGTTATATAATGGGATATTCTGGCTGTTTGGAAAAGCCTGGCAGTCGGCCCTGTGGAAATGCATCCCTTTTTAAAGCAGGGGCATGCTGGATATTGAAGACATGCTAACTTTCTTGAGGAGAGGAATTCTCTCGTGCCTCCCATTCTTCACATGCTTTCCACTGAAGAAGCCAACCATTGGCTATATTCTTTGCACATTGTCAGCACTCACAGAATGGTTTTTCTAAAAGTTATTTTTTCCTTTTGCAAATACTGCTCTTTAAAGGTTAAAGCCTCCAATCAAAGTAGAAACAATTATCGACTTTGCTTCATTGTTGGATTTCCTAAAAGAGAGAGCACTTTAGATTGCAAAAGCTATAAATATATGGGCTGCATCAGATTTGTCTAGCATTGCACACTGAGCACTCAGCAGAACTCGGTCAAGTAGTCTGGTTTATAATTGCTGCTCTGATTTCCGCTTCTGCTCCTGAATTAACTGGGAGTGGTTTAGAATAGTAAGTGAGAGTTAAAGGAGAAAATTCCATTTGTTTGCAATGAGGATAATCACATAATTGGTGCAGGCTGTGACAACTGACAAGAGAAGGTGGTGTGTGAGACATGCAGATCTAAATATTATTTCATTAGTTCAACCATATGTCTTGTTTCTGAGGAAATCACTTCAAAATATTTTGGTGACCTCATGGTTTAATAAATTACTTGATTATGCCAATAAAATAAATACATTAAAGCAACAGTAGCTGGCCAGGAGACTGCTTTAAAGAAATCATATCAGCCTTTTTATAAATCTAGACTAATATTTTTAAAAAGAGACTAGTTTGTTTGGGTATCTGATTTTTTTTAAATGTTAGTTTGATTTTTTTTTAAGAGGCTTAAGTATTAGATATCTTTTAAAGTATTTAAATTTGGGCCCTTTTAGAAACCTTTTCAAACCTTTTCATTTTTGCATCTCACTCAGGCAGGACAGTGAAACTGTGAACTGATCAATTTCACATTTACATTTATCACATGTAAGAACAATGCTGTTTATCTACCTAAGTTCTTTGGACTCTTATAATCATAGTATCCGGGAGAAAGAGTTTTCTATGCAGCAAGAAAATGCCAAATGTGTTTTTTTTAATCACTAACATCTGAAAACCATCAATGAAAATATTTTTTTTCAACATCAGGTTTTGTAAATGTCCGTTTTTCACCTGCTTCAGAGGGGTAGCCGAGTTAGTGTGTAACTGGAAAAACTTTAAAAAAAATCAACAAATAGTCTTGCAGCTCCGCACTCATTAATGGATCTCAAAGTCACTGCATTGTTTCAGACCAATTCCACAAGCCAACTCCAGAGGGAAGCCTTAGAACTTAATTTCATTAACAAATTTGATTCCTATCACAGAGGAATCGTTTTTCTTTGGGGAGGGATAGCTCAGTGGTTTGAGCATTGGCGTTTTTCTTTGGAGAGGGATAGCTCAGTGGTTTGAGCATTGGCTTGCTAAACCCAGGGTTGTGAGTTCAATCCTTGAGGGGGCCATTTAGGGATCTGGGGCAAATCTGTCAAGGATGGTACTTGGTCCTGCTGTGAAGGCAGGGGATTGGACTTCATGACCTTTCAAGGTTCCTTCCTGCTCTGTGAGATAGGTATATCTCCATATTATTAAGATGTTGGCTGGATGGCCCACCACATTCCACATCCCAATGACATAAAAAAAAGCCAAACAATGGGTACAATTAGCACCTTCTCATTAAAAATGGGTACCTAATAACATAAAAAACCGAACAATTAGCACCTTCTCTCTCAGCTTCATGTAGCATGGACTTTCTAATTGACTGTTTCCCTCCCCCTTATTTTTTCTTCCATCTCATCTCCAATTTGTTTAGAAACTGTGAACCTTTAATAATTTCATTCATCTGAAGAAGTGGGTTGTGCCCATGAAAGCTCATGTCTTTTGTTAGTCTCTAAGGTGCTGCAATACTATTTGTTGTTTTTAAAGTTTTTTTCCCCCTTTTTCACATCTGGTTTTCAAGGAAAAGAAATTTTAAATTTTGAGGTTTAAAGAAAGTTTTTGTTTTAAAAACAAACAGTTGTTTTTGGGTTGCTAATATAATATAATGTAACATTTCCTGATGTTATGGTGGAGCCTGTAGACTCAGCCTTTGATTAAAACATCTCTGAACCCCCACTCTAAAGCAAATGGGCCAGATTCAACCCAGGTTTATGTGAGCTTCTGCCAGTGAAAACCATGGCCTTAGGTCCCTGACAGTAGAAAGTGCAGCAGGAGACGTGGTTGTACTGATGCAAAGTGGTTGCAAACTTCTTTTTGTGAGCAGGTAGAGCAGTGGTCACTAACCAGTAGTTTGGGGTCTACCAGTAGATCTTGGAGCTTCTGACAGGTGATCCTGACTGGTTTGGCCAGTGAGCTATCAAGCGCTGTCAGTTGCCCCTCTGCCTACTGTCACGCTGCTTCTGCCCCCTGCCCTGAAACTGCCCCGCTTCTCCTCCAGAGCCTCTTGCTTGTTGCGCAGAGTGTGAGGGAGGAGAGGAGGACGCTGATGTCAGGGAAAGGAGTGGCCCAAGGCCGGCTGTAGCAGCTGGCGCCTTAGGTGGGATGGCGCAATCACCGCCCCTGCCTTCATGGCCGTCAGTGGCCATGACGTCATCATCGGGCGCCCGGGGCAGTGGCGCCCTAGGCAACGGCCTAGCTCACCTAGGCTCACGGGCTGCCCTTGATCAGGGTTTCCCTCCTTCCCCCATGCCTGTACCCCATCTTCACACAGAGAGAAGGGGATGGAGGGTGCTTGGCAATGCCAATCTCTGTCAGTCTGACGCACTGTGTGTGTCTTCGTCATTCTCACACACACACACTGTCCTTCACGCTCATCTCGTGACCCAGCACACCCATCGGGGGTTGTTACCTCTTTCACCGCTTGCAGAGTGTGTTGGTTTTGGTTTTTGACTGGTCTGTGCATTTCATAATTTCCATCTCTCACTCACACTTAAATGTAATTCTTTGAGAAGTGAGTTCTAAAATGTCGAACCTGTGGAGGCTGGAGTCATTATCCCTGTGGTAACTGCGGCTCCTGGAAGTGGCTGGCATGTCCCTGCAGCCCCGGAGGGTGGGTCTAGACTACATCCCTTTTTTCGAAAAAGGGATGTAAATTAGACACTTCGAAATTGCAAATGAAGCTGGGATTTAAATTTCCCGTGCTTCATTTGCATAATGGCAGCCTTGGCTTTTTTTCGACACAGGGCTTTTCGATAGAAAAACGGCAGTTTAGACGGGGATCTTTCGAAAATAAAACCCTTTTTCGAAAGATCCTGTAAACCTCATTTTTGGAGGAGTACATGGGAGGTGCAGGGGAAGGGAGTGAGCAGGATGAGGCCTTGGAGAAGGGGTGGAGCAGGGGCAGGGTCTCAAAGAAGGGGCAGGGAGGAAGTGGGGGCCAGGGTATTTGGGTTGGAGGTAGATGTTACATTGCACTTAAATTGAAAAAGTGATCTTGTGGTTAAAAAGGTTGGAGACCACTGAGTTAGAGGCATCCAGGGTGCGGACGGAGCGTGATCGGCAGGGGTGCTGATGAAAGGGCTTCTCTTAGCAGTCCTTTATGGCAGAGTTCCCTGGGATAGCCAAAGCAGCAATGGCTTTAGTGCAAAATTTAGCACAACTGTCCCAATAAAAACTCCTTTGTGGCCAGGGGACAATGACACCTACCTTTAGAGCCCTGCATACAGGAGTTAAAAATAGGCAGACCTGTACGTGTAGTCATATTCAAGGGACTTTTAACAGCCTCCTTTTTAAGGATCAGTTTAAGGTTGATTGACATGTTCATTGTGGTCTAATGGATCTGCCTTGTGCTGTGCTGTAGGTTAAGCCAAACCTTGGTGAAAGATGTCGCCATCCTTGCTAGAGAGATTCATGATGTCGCAGGTGACGGCGACTCCCAGAGTTCATCAGGAACAGGACCAAGCACCTCCCTCAGCTCCGTACCCAACACCCCTGCTTCTACCATCTCAGCAAGGGAAGAGGTAAGATAGCTGCCACAGGAAAAATCTGGACCACAAAATTGAAGTAAGTGTTCATCTACCCATCTGTGGCAGGGGGAGGGCTGCAGGGCCAGTCTTCATTTACTACAAAGAGGGGCGGAGATGAGGAGTGCAGCCAAAGGAGCGCGGTCTCTTTAGAGCACACAGCTTTTGTCAGGGTGGCCCCTGCTCTGGCCAGCTTACACAGAGGTGGGACCAAGACATTCCTCAGTGTGGTTCAAAGGGAGGAGTCTTCTCTTGTGAGATGGTAGCAGGCCTACTCAGGTGGGCAATGGGAAATTAAGTCATCTCACGGAGTCTTCAGCAAGTAATAGAGCTCTGTGGTGAGAGTATAAGTGTAGTTCCAAAGGACTTGGTGTCTCCTGCATTTAGGGAGCCTCCTGAGGGATAGCTCAGTGGTTTGAGCATTGGCCTGCTTAAACCCAGGGTTGTGAGTTCAATCTTTGAAGGGGCCATTTAGGGATCCAGGGCAAAGGGATTGGGGGAGGCAGGCCCCCAGCTCCACCTACAGCCCCGCCCACTCTGCTCAGGCCCCACCCCCACTGTTGGTAGGGGAGGAGGTGGGGCTGAGTTCACCAGCAGAGGGAGGAGTGTGTGTGCCTCCCTGACCCCACATGGCTCCAACGTGCCTGGCCCCTGGAGCACAGGGAGTGTGGGTGCTGGGGGCAGCAACGTTCTACAGAAGGCGTTCTGAGGGTGGAGTGTGGGCGGCGCCATGCCTGGTGGTTTGGGAAGGAAAAGCCTTCTTCCCACCAAGGCTATTGGACGCCCATGGAAGAAGTGCACGTTTCTCGTTGCCGATGCTGTGTGCAGTCAGCACACACCTCCCGCTTCACATGCCCTGGCTTTACGTGGCAAGCATGTCGCTTTTGTAATACCGGCAGGACAGAAATCAGCCGCATTTGGCTGTCCTGCCCTTAGGCAAAGGCAAACAAAACATTTTGCAGGCCACATGCAGAACTCTGATGGGCCACATGTAGGCTGCAGGTTGCCCACCACTGCTCTGTGACCTGGGTTGGGCCCTGAAGAGGGAAGGAAATCTATGGCCTTCATATTTTTAAATGAGCACATTGGCTGAGGGCACTCTGGCCGTCCGCCACACGCCGTATTTTGCACTTCAATGGCACCCCTCCTCTGAAGCTCTGAAAGGGTTTGCAGAGGTTTGCTATGTTCGCATTGATGAGCCCACATAGGGCTCCTCTCTGCCAGTGGGCTGAGCAGATTCTGTAGGGCAAGCCTGGCCCTCTCTCTTCTGTTCCCTTTGAATGGATTTAATTCCTTCCCTGCCTGGCTGTTGGTGGCACCCATCGTGCTGGCTTTAGATGTTCCCCCTTTCAGATTGGCTTCTTCTCTCCTCCCCAGGTGAAGTAACTAACAGGGCCTTTGATACCACCTGCCTGTCAATTTCAACTTGCTGTATGGTGCTGTGATTTTCACGCATGCTATGAAATAGATCCAAAGAGATGGGAAAAGTTAATGATCACTGTGTACTATTTGAGTTAGGTTAGACCCTAAGGGCCCCGATAGGGGGCTCATTGTTTCTATTTCTACAACCTGAGAATGGAGGTTTGGCAGAATTCCTGCAATAATACTGAACACCGTTTGCCCTGGTTTCCACTTGCAGTTAACCAGGACATGGTATTTTCCTACTGCAGACTAGGCTTGTGTCTCTATTGTGCAAAATACAGTTGCTTCACAGCAGCTTCAGGCTCTGAGATGATAAAAGATTCTTTTATTGCTTGACTTGAATCCAAGAACCACACCTGCAAAACTGCCATGTTGAGCAGTTAGATAACCAATTAACTCTTTACTTCTCAGCTTCCAATGAATTTTTGAATGCCTATAAACTGTATACCCTTTCTCCCCCCTCCTCCCAAACACAGAGAAACACACTTATTTCTATTTATATAGTGCCATTGGGTGTGTAGCACTTTGCAGAAAGGAAAAACTCCCCACTGTAGAAGAATGCTTCCAGTCTAGGTGAAATACAAGAGACATGGGGACAGCATAAAGTCCAGACGCGATAAAGCCTAGAAGCAAAGTAACTCAGTGACTGTGCTTAGCAGGCGTCTTCTTACATCCCAAGTTTTTATTCATGGTTTTGAAATGGTTCTGTGAGATCAGTGAGGAGCCCAGGAAAGCCATAAGAAGTGATTGGACAAAGAAGGAGTGTCGAAATTATAGAACCTTCACCACACTAAAAATCTTTTCCAGAACATCAAACTATTGCTATTGTTGGCTAATCTGCACCACTATCAGCAACAGTGTGAGCAGAATAGAAATAGAGAGGTAGCCGTGTTAGTCTAGTTTAGATGAAACAAAAAACAGGACTATGTAGCACTTTAAAGATTAACAAGATGATTTATTAGGTGATGAGCTTTTATGGGCCAGACCCACTTCCTCAGATCAAATTGTGGAAGAAAATAGGCATGACCATATATACCAAAGGGATACAATAAAAAAAAGTGAACACATATAAAAAGGACAAATCAAATTTCAGAACAGAGGGAGGATGGGGGCGGAAGGTAAATGTCTGAGAGCTAATGATATTAGAGGTGATAATTGGGGAAGCTATCTTTGTAATGGGTAAGATAATTAGTGTCTTTGTTAAGACCCGGGCATAAAGTGTCAAATTTAAGCATGAATGACAGTTCAGAGGTTTCTCTTTCAAGTCTGCTGTTAAAATGTCTTTGAAGCAGTATGCAGATAATCAAGTTGTTGAGACAATGCCCCAATTATCACCTCTAATATCATTAGCTCACAGACATTTAACCTCCCCCCCCATCCCTCATCTGTTCTGAAATTTGATTTGTCCTTTTTATATGTGTTCACTTTTTTTTATTGTATCCCTTTGGTATATATGGTCATGCCTATTTTCTTCCACAATTTGATCTGAGGAAGTGGGTCTGGCCCACGAAAGCTCATTGCCTAATAAACCATCTTGTTAGTCTTTAAAGTGCTATATAGTCCTGTTTTTTGTTTCAGTGTGAGCAGAGTGAGCCGAAAAATTTCCCAAAGGAAAAAGAGGGCAAACGTATTTGCAAAACATAGATTCACAGAGATGTAGGGCCAAACTGGACCTCAAGAGGCCATTTAGTCCGGCCCCCTGCGGTTATGCATGGCTAAGTAAATCTAGACTATCCCTGAAAGGTGTTATTAAAAACCCTAATGATGGGTATTCCACAGCCTCCCTTGAAAGCCTTTTTTAGAGCTTAATTATCTTTATAATTAGAAAGTTTTTCTTAATATCTAACCTAAATTCCCTGCTGCAGATAAACCTGGTCACCTCTTGTCATATCTTCAAGGGGGCATGGAGAACAATTGATCTCTGTTCTCCTTTTTAACATCCCCTACCCATTTGAAGACTGCTGTCATATTGGGGGCCCCTCAGTCGTCTGAGTCTCAGGATTAAACATGCCCCGTTTTTTTTTTAATCTTTCCTTAGAAAGGTCAGGGTTTTTTTTTAAACTCTTATCTTTTTTGTTGCTCTCCTCTGTGTTGCTTGATTAAAGGAGGGTAAATGTTATTAATTTGGATAGTTTGGGTTGCAGGGTCACCAGCTGAACTGATCAGAAGGTAATAAGGCTCTTGTCCCAGAATCAGGCTGTACAGAATACACAGAGGCTCCTCGGGGGTAAGACAAGATGTTCACACTGAGACAAAATAGTATAAAACTTCATTAAAATACTAGAAGATTTATCTGGCGTTCCTCAGGTCCTTCAGGGCGGGGAGTTGGAGGTGTGTAGAGAGGTGCAGGAATCAGGTACGGGCTTAGGATGTGGGAATTCGGGGGTTCAGGAGTCAGGGTTAAGGGTGAGGAGGGAGTCAGGGCAGTGGTGGGGGTGTAGGAGTTGGGGCAGGGGATTGAGAGATGTGGGAAGGCCCAGGGGAAAGGGTGGGGTGTTGGAGTTGGGAGCTCAGAGCACAAATTTGCAGGGTACAGGAGACCAGGCAGTTGGGTGAGGGGGCAGTTCAGGGCAGAGGTAGAGGTCTAAGGATATGGGGTGGGGATGTAGGGATGCAGGAGTCAAGGCAGTGGATTGGGAGATGTGGGGGGTTTAGGGCAGCATGTGGGGGTGCAAGAGTCAGAGCAGGAGGTTCAGTGGGCAGATGGTGGGGGTGCGGTGAGTGTTTGGAGGTCCAGGGAGGGGAAAGGCTGCGCAGCTGAGGGCGGAGGGAGGGGCAGCAGGACGCAGAGTGATGTGTGACGTCACACTGTCATCCCCCAGGAAAAGTTTTTATTTATTTATTTATTTATTTATTTATTTAGAGACAGACAGACTAAATGACACCCGTCTGTCAGCAGAGGGATGTAAATCAGACACATTGGAAGTGCAAATGAAGCGGGGATTTAAATATTCTGTGCTTCATTTGCATAAACACGTTCGGGCGCTGTTTCGAACAAGCGTCATTTCGAAACTGAAACTGTGACTTAGCCGCGGTTCTGCTGATAGTGGGGTGATTTTTCGACAGATCCTGTACTCCTTGTTTTTTGAGGAGTACAGGATCTGTCGAAAAATCACCCCGCTGTCAGCAGAACCTTGGCTAAGCCGCGGTTTCAGTTTCGAAATGGTGCTTGTTAGAAACAGCGCCCGAACGTGATTATACAAATGAAGCGCAGGATATTTAAATCCCTGCTTCATTTGCACTTCCGATGTGTCTAATTTACATCCCTCTGCCAACAGAGGGGTGTAGTTTAGACACACCCAGAGAGAGAGAGAGACAACGAGGGATGTGAAAGTGTAACCGTGTACATGGTTAACCACTGAGCCTGGCTTCATGGTTACATGTAGGCTCCCAGTGTGCATGGGGAGCCGTCTTAAAAGCCCTCTGGCTTCCAGTGAACACTGTCTCCAGAGCCACCTCCCCCTCCCCCCCACTCCTGCGCCTGTTGCTGCCTTTGTATTAGAGGCAACTGCATGGGAAGCAAGGAGCAGGTGGGAGCCAGTGCACACAGGGAGCTGGTTTCAAAGCCAGCTCCCCATGCGCACCGGCTCCTGGGGAGCTCTCTGCCCCTTCCCCTTCCCTCCACATTGCTGCCTGTAGGCTGCATCTGTGCTCGGCTCTGTCCTTATCTGGACTAAAGTGTGGCGCCCAGAACTGGACATAGTACCACTGCTGAGGCCTCCCCAGTGCTGAGCAGAGTGGAGATTACCTCCTGTGTCTTAGACATGACACTCCTGTTAATCCACCCCAGTTTTCCCTAACTGCATTATATTGTTGCTTTGTATTCCATTTGTGATGTACTCTAGCCCCCAGATTCTTTCTCGCAGTACTACCCCCTTGCCAGCTATTCCCCATTTGATAGCTGTGCATTTCATTTACTTCCTAATTGTAGCCCTTTGTCCTTGTCCTTGATTTCAGACCAGTTCTCCCATTTGTCAGGGTTGCTTGGAATTTTAATCCTGTCCCAGCTCAGTGTCATCCACAGGACCCCACTAGCTATGTCCTCCTCGTTTGACAGTGAACCATTGATAACTCCCCTTTCAGTACGCCTTTCAAACAAACTATGCACTTACCCTACGTTCATTTTATCTAGACCACATTTCTGTGGTTTGCTTATGAGAAAGTCCTGTTGGACTTTGTCAGAAACCCTAAAATCGAGATGTATCATCTTTTACTTCCCTGTATTCAAGACAACAATAGCCCTGTCAAAGAAGGAAATTAAGTTGGTTTGGTGCTAGTTCCTTAAGTGCCCCAGGATGTATTTTGTCAGGCCCTGATGACTACACATTAGGCTACATCCCTTGTGGCAAGGGATAGAATATTATTACATCTGAAGATCTAGAAAAACAAGCTTAGGGCAAGGATGATTGGCACCATTTGACTTCTGCCCTGATGGTGCGGGAAGGCTAACGATGACCATATTAAATTGGTATATGTGAGGGCACAAGATGGGGGAACAGACACTGTCTGACAAGCAAACTACTGTGTGTAATTGAAAGCTGTTTGATAAATTAGTACAGACCTGCCTGGCTTATAGTAAGGGGCTACGTCTACACTGGCATGATTTTCCGGAAATGCTTTTAACGGAAAAGTTTTCCATTAAAAGCATTTTCGGAAAAGCGCATCTAGATTGGCAGGATGCTTTTCCGGAAAAGCACTTTTTCTGGAAAAGCGTCTGTGGCCAATCTAGATGCGCTTTTCCACAAAAAAAGCCCCAATCGTCATTTTCGCGATCGGGGCTTTTTTGCGGAAAACAGTACTGTGCTGTCTACACTGGCCCTTTTCCGGAACAGTTTTCCAGAAAAAGACTTTTGCCCGAACAGGAGAAGCATAGTTTTTCCGGAAAAGCACTGATGATTTTACATTAGATCGTCAGTGCTTTTCCAGAAATTCAAGCGGCCAGTGTAGACAGCTGGCAATTTTTTCCGGAAAAGCGGCTGATTTTCCGGAATAACCTGCCAGTGTAGACTCAGCCAGGGTGTGTATATAGAACATTATATGCCACTAATCTAGTCACCTGGTTTTCCAATGCTGAGTATCCATTCCTTTTCTAAGAAAGGAACAGTTCGGGGTCTCAACTTGTTCTTGATCCCCCATGCAAAGTAGGAAAAGGAGTAGCAACTTCTGTGATGTTTTCTAAGGCTTGGTCAGTGGGTACTAGCCTGGATTTTGGTAGAGGAAATAAATGTTTTAGAATACAAAATTGTATTCCGATGGCCCTAGCTAGAAGTAACTCACTGTAACTCAATGTCAGTGTTTTCAGTCTGTGCTGCTGTTTTCAGGGGTTTATAAAAGTGTCCATAAATATTCGCTCTGCCCTCATACTTGGTACAACAGCTTGGAGCCCTACACATACTGATTTTTTTAATGTTTTTATTTTGCTGCACTTGATTAAAAATTAAAAATTAGCCATGCTCCTTTAAAAGATAAAAATGGGGCCTTAAAAACTGAGCTTTTGTGCTTTACTCCTGATGTTTTGTCCTTACCAGTCCAGGATTGGGTTGGATTTAAACCAGGATGTTTTTCAAGTTTTCAAGTACACATTTAGTGAGGATTTTATTGCCCCTGTGCTATATAGTGTATGGATTATACAGTTCCCTGAAAGACCAACTTAAGCACTACTGAGAGTTTACAGCAAAGAGTACAAAGTACATGGCTTGCATTTTTTGAAAGTGACGTGTGGTTTTGAGCTTCTTAGTTACTAGATGCCAGCTTGAGATGCCCTTTAAAGAGGTCTAATATTTAGAAGTGCTGAATTTTAAGTTTAAGGTTTCTCAAGATGGACACAGCAAATCACTAGTCATTTTGAAAACTTAGGTCTGTGTTTAAAAATAAATTGCTAATGTTGTGTGGAAAACTTTTAAGTCTCCTTCAGTATTGTTATGGTATGTGTAAGGTATCAAGAATGCCTATTAGTGTGACATGGGCCAGTACTTTCAGATATGATAGAACTGTGGATAAGTATAAGCCAGTTTATCATGTGACTGTATTTCATAGGACCCTAATTATTGCATATGCCATATACAATATCGTGGTTTCAAAGCGATTGTTTATTTGATGGAATAACTATTACTTTTGCCCTTTCGTGACTCACTGTGTTAATTATTTGTATAAGATAGAAATGTCTCATTTGTTACCATTGATTTTTAGTGAATCTCATACCACTCACAGCATAGTGTACCAAAAACATTTCCAAAATCCTAAAGAGGACATTTTTAAAAACGAACAATAGAGGGCAGAATTGTGGGTATAATTCACAGTAATTGAACATTGTGTATTTTACCAAGCGTCTTCTGATTTCTGTCTGTTTATAACTCATGCTGTGTTTTGCAGTGCTCAAGAACAGCCAATACCCTGAGAACCCCAATTTCTCTTCACTTTGCTTGTGAGAGTTATGTGATATCATTAACCAACAGCCCATTGTACTGTCTTCATAGTTCCATGATCTGTGTTGCACAATTTCTCCTATTTCATTAAGGATGGCTCATATTACTGCAATTTGCTTCTTTTCAATGTAATCTGGGAATTGCTGCAGATCGTCTCTGGTGAATTGGTGTATGAACAAATTTTCAAAATGTCACAATGCATGTCCATGTTTAGGAACTTTCCATGGAAACATGCTGGTGCTTTTAAAATTTGTTTTCTGGAATGCACTTTTCGGTTTGCTACCTATTATGGTTTATCTTGTCCGTGCGCTTCCTTTGATAACTGCTGTCAGAGTCTTGTGATCAGTAATGATCTCTTTATCCCATTTGTTTCTGTTTTAACACAGATTGCTCGTACATCTTTACAACCGGCATATCCATCTCAGGTGCACTTTCCATCCCATTATTTTGTATCTGTGTCTTTAATGTTGTTTTCCTCACCTCCTCCAATGTTTTGTCTGAGTCCTATCAATTTTAACTTAGCAAATTAGTTGTCTTGCTTATTGTGTTTATCCTTTCTAATACTATTTACATATTTTAATTGCTTCTTTACCTTTTCTGTGTATTAATAGAGGTTGTATTTGCTTAATTTTAATGACACTTTAAGATTAAATTAGTTTTTTAGACTTTGATATATTAAAACATAAAATCCACATGTGTGAGCAGCTCTTTCTGGAAACAATCATTTCTGAATTCATCCCTGAATTCATACTAGGCAGGGATTTCTATAGTAAATGCTTGCTGTAACACGAAGGTTGCAAAGATGCACATGAGTAGTTACACTGAGTTTCATGGGACGGTTCCCATGTATAAATAAATATTTGCAGGATTGGAGTTTAAATCATTTGTTTCAGAACCCATTCCTGCCAGAGTAGGACATGTACTGTGGAGCTCTCTTCTTGGGCTTGCCTCAAAATCTCTAATACCTTTGGAAACGTGCCTGTTTGCTCGCCTTGTATTTTTTTTAATCTACACCATTGATAATTGCAACTGACTCATTGGTTATTATTTTTAAGCTGGTACAGCACATTCCAGAAGCAAGTCTGAACTACCAGAAGGTGCCTCCCGGGTCAGTGGGATTGAAGGATTTTGATCAAAATATGAACGACAATAGGGAAGAAGATCTCTCAAGAAAAACAAGAGCCAGAAACCGAGAGGAGGCAGGTTTTTTCCCCCTTTCCTTTCTAAAATTATAAAGTTGCAACACATATGTCTGTACTTCCTAACTAACCAGCTAGCTGAGGGAATTCAAAGAATTCCGGTGCTTGGGAGCCCTTGACTTTGTAGCTATAGAAACACATGTTTAGAAAAACCCTTGTACTGGATGCTGATAAGAGCTTTCTTTTTGGTGGAAATCACTGATAGAAACCAGCAAGAATTCTACAAGAAGAAACCAGGATGCTATGAACCAAGATTTTCAGAAGTCGCTAGTGAATGTAAGTGCTCCACCTTTTGAGTGCCAAATCTGAAAGCACTTAGGCCCCGTCTTCACTTGCCGCACTAGAGGCCAATCTTCTGGTGTTCAGTTTAGCAGGTC